CGTGTCTGTACTGCCCTGACATCCTGCCGAATCAAGCCAGTGGCCTGATATATGGACTGATTTATAGCCCAAGTTGGGTACGAATTTGGGAACGGTAGAAACCAAATACCCTTTCTTGGTACGCTTCAGTGGGATGTGACTTGGTCTCGCCATAAGCGTTGTTGGCTCGACTGCGTTTGCCAAAATATAAACCATGGCTGGATTAAACTCGCCTGATATGCTTCCGAAGTGGACCCAAAAGGTGTAGTTGGGGGTAATCACAGTTTTAATAAAAATTCCTGCTTAACTCTTTAACACCCAAAATTTCACCCCAAAATGCCGTTTTATGCAGTTTTATGGCAGCCATGACGCTAAATGGGCCTTGGTTTTACTGAAAAGCTATTTTTTTTTTTTACCAGAACGGTAGATTTCCCGAAGATAAGTTAAAAAATGTACAATATTTTAATTTGGTGCATTTTTTTTCTTTTTTGCGATTGCCCGTTCTGAATTCTTTTTCTTGCCTATTTCCTTTCCTTTTTCTCGCCCCTTTTACTCTCGCTACCTTTCGCTTTTCACATTCTTTCTGGCTGCGGTAAAACGTTGGGTGTAAATTATGGGCAAAGCCTGAAAATAAGACCTTGAACAATTACAGGTATTATATGCCATTTTACCACCATTTTTGAGCTAAAACTGATAACGTTGTTTTTCAATTTGCTACCTCAGAATGCCTTCGCTATCCAAAACAGTCTGTTGTGCGGATAGGTCTATCCTAGCTCTACTGTCTGCTTATCAAGACTATCTGGCGACATTTAAATTGGTGACGTCACAAGTGGCACAAAGAGCACGACCACTCAGGGCGTGTACATGCGCCGTTGGCAGTCAAAGGGGGACAGTGCTGCATTTAACGTATTTTTCCCCGGGTGAGGAGAGGCGCTATGAGTGTCTTGACCATGTGGTTCGACAGAACACAACACGGGAATTTGACAACCCTCAAAACACGGACCGTTAACCGTTAATTATTTCACAAAGCCATCCATTGTGAATCAGCATCAGAAATCCCGTTCTATATCAAAAGGCGCAATCGTCAGCTACGATCATTCACGGAGACAAGCTCATTAAACTTATGGGGGCTCCTTCTTAACTACGGATTTAGAACAGTTGTTAGGAACTGCTGAAGGCCATCTTTAGAGAAGGGCTATTTTGGAGCGTTTTGCAGTGCTAAAAAAAGTATGATTTCGCGTGCGTAACTAGTGCCATCCCAAACAGCGCGTTAATATTTTAAATCCCTAAAACTTGGAAGAAGAGAGGAAGAATTCCAATTTTTCCCATGAATCAGAAATAACTTAGCGTTCTTTATAATCGTACGTATGGAATTACTGTATACAAGTAAAAAAAGGAAAGCCACTGTAGAAAGTCTGTTAATACGGTTTATTACCTCATAACTTTTATGATTATGCGAGTTTCATAAAACCCATACGTAGCATTAGGCACGTAGACTTAATCTATTGACACTAATTTAAAGTTTCGGATTTAGATGCCTTGTAAGTTTTAGCGTTTTTGCCATTCTGGTCACATGACTGGTCAATTATCGCCATCATTTGAACCGTTCGCAGGACTCTTCAATGGAACAAACCTGCGCAAAAAGTTTATCATTAGGAGGTCTGGTTTTCAAAATATGATGTTTAGAAACCTTCCTCAGCAACAAATTTATGATTGGTAGTTAAGAAGGACCCCCGTTAAATCAATTTTTTTGCAAACACTGAAGCCTATAGAAATTCATTTTACTGCAGAACCATGAAAGGGTGGAACTCATTGCCTGGAAATGTTTGATATAGGAAAACCTTCATTATTTAACTTCGTTTAGAATATAACTAAATTCTCGCTAGGATATCTATTGATCGGAAATTTAACCGTTGCAAGTGAACGTAAGGAACTTTTGCTTTTACCCCGTTTGCGCCCCTTTGTTTTAAGATCTGATATCAAACCAATTGCCGATTTTAACATAAGAGTGACCGACTCAAGGCATGCATACCGAATCTAACTAGAAAAGTTTATAATATGATAACCTAACCTAAAGCAAGTATATCTGACGTCTCCAATGAGGGATATCTCTAAAATATACTTTGTTGTTTTTGTTGCTGTTGTTGCTGTTTCTTTTTTTCCTCAGCGGAAGCCGATGCGAAGGCTAATCCCTCTTTTCCCTATTTGTGATGTCTAAGCAACTGTATTGCATTTTTCCCTTATTTGCCTATTGATCTAAGTGAATGTGACCGGGACTATGTTTACTAGTTTAAGCTTTGTTGTTTTCACTTTCAAAATTATATCTGCAAAGGACATGAGTTGAAATAAAAAAAATTTGAAAATATAAATTAAGGACATTACTTCAATTCTGTAGAATAGATGTAAAAAAAACTGACCCGGTGATGATTCATTTTCCTGCCGTTATATACAGGCGTAAGAAAGTAAAATGTAAGAGCTTTCATCTTAAACCAGTGCCACGCCATTAGCTACACCGTGGATGCTTTCAAGGAAGTTGCATTTTCAGGTTTCATTGTTATCACACCTCATCAACATGTTGTAATTTCTTTTCACTTTTCTTCTCTCCTTAGCTCAATTCCATGGAATCTATTCTAGGCAATACTACGATATGTCATCTGGGAAAAAGATAATTTTCCATTTATTCAAGAACAACGACCAATTACAGATCAATTTAGGTTTGATTGTCAGGAGTCGTGATACATGGGCGGGTAATTGTGGGATAGTTTATAGTTGCACTGGACTAAAACTGGGATAAGAGACACTTGCTCTTTTTTGTAATTGTATGTTATTTTTAAACCGTTCGAAAACCGATGTCTGACCCTAAAACGTGTGTCTGGAGTATTAGTATGCCATACGAACACACTTTCAAAGGTCCTAAAGTACTTTTAACCTAAGAACATCGTTTTTGGAAAAAAAAATTAATCAATTTAATTTAATCCATTGAATGAATGAAAGACTTTATTTAAGTGTCATTAGTATTTAGCTTTAAAAAAAAAAACTAATTGGGGACACTATTTTCACTCAACAAATTACAATCCATAAGAAAACATACAAGCAATGAAGTATGTTATATTACAAACAAAACAAAATAGAAGAAATGCAGCGGGAAAGGACTAGAAAGCAACCATACGTGCTAGTCCACCCAAAATATATAAAAACAAAACAAAGAAAAAGGCTGTTTAAAATGTAGTGTCAATTTAGCATCAAAGGGCTACTATGACCCCTCGGCTCCCATAATAAAAAGGACGGGGGTGCTTGTCATACCTTTAAGGGTGTTCAACCTCAAAAAGTCCACAGCCAGAGCTTTTGCGGTACCTTTTAACAAATTTCAAGCCACGCCCACAAAACAGGAGCTTGGTACTTCTTAAACGTTCTTTTCAAAATTTCTGACGAGCACCCCCCCCCCGTCCTTTTTATATATGGGAGTCCCACAGCCGGGACTATGACCCTCAAGTAACATTTGCGCGGTCAGGATCAAAGTTCTTGCATTTATAAAAGTCTCTGCATCGTCTCTTGAAGCATGACAAAATGCAAATCTGTGCTAAATAAAAGTTTTATGTCAACATTGCATACGGGTACAGTGGGGAAGGGCAAAATGAGTATAGAATGAAGTTTTCCAGCCCCCGTGACCGAGGTTGTGGCTAGACAATTCTATTTAGGTTTCCATCAGTGAGAAAACGTCTTCGGAGTTTTGACTTTTCGGGATCATGCTCAGAACAGCACCCCAGTTAAGAGTGTCTGCCCAGGGCAAGATTGAAATTCAAATTGCTGCTATTTTGTCAAATAATTTTTTAAATCGATTACAATCTAGAATTGCTCAAAAGTTCCAACGATTTTAAACCTTTGTGAAAATTAGGAAAATTCGAAATACTGGCATGGATACGTTTTTACAGAACGACGACAATTTTTCTGGGTTTTAAGTATATTTATGCAATATTTGTAATTTATGCCTTGGTTATTTCTTCGAGCTTTCACTTTTTGTCAGGTTCTTGCAATTTTATTGACATACCAAAATTCAACTTAATTTAAAAGAATCGTTAGTATTTCTGAGTGTTTGTCATTTATGTATCTTAATGGCTAGTTTGGCCCGTGTAGATTCAGCCCAGCTAGGCCAATACGAGAGACATTTTGACAAATGGTGCCGTTTTTCGATTTTTCGCTTTTTCCTCACCAGGTAACTGTTTGATTGTTCACGTGCAATTTGAATGTCGGTAACCCTAAATATGGATGCCCCCGCCTTGACTTAGAGCTTTTGGGAAGTCTTACGTAATAGCTTTTACTTGTTATGTTTTTCTTTTCACAATCTCCAAGCTTACCAGGCGTCCGGTTCAAGAGAACTCCTAAGTCTGACAAACAACGGTAATCTGAGACGGATCTAGGGGCGGGGGCGGGGGAGGGGGGGGGAAGAGGGGGGTGTTCGGGGGTCTAGGTCGAACCTTCTAAGTTAAAAAAAAATGAGACATTATAGCACGCTGACTTGGACTCAGAATGTCAGAGGACCTTTCCGGCAGAGGATGGCCCCCGACCCGTATACCAGTACGTATCTCGAGGCCCCTCCGAATTCCTGTATCCGCCCAAGATAATTATCTCTTTTCAGACAACTGTGGCAGCTGAGTGACTATTGAAATGGCAAAAGGGGGCTGCATATTGTTTAGTATTAAATGTTTCATGTCTTATTTTGCCAAAACAGGTATACCGTGTTAGTTCTATCAAACCTAGAGACATCTAAACCTTCTAACCTGCGACTACAAAATAGCGGCTAAGTTAATTGCTCATCGCTTATCGCTTGATATCTTCTCTCCCTAATATCATCAACTATGAGCGGACTGGTTTTATATATCGATGGTAGATTTATTGGAGAAAACATTTTGGCAGTGTTTTCAAAACAAGCCGTCAACCGCCGGGGTTCCGTAGCCTACTTGATTATACATCGCTGAATACTCTGGTTATAGCAATCAGCTTTCGACAAACAACCTCGGCATTGAACATGTGTCTTATCAGCAGAGTAACTTCAAACTCGATTTTGCAGCAATAACTGCTTTTTCTTATGCCGTAGGAAGCTTATTAAAAGGAAAGCTCAAGGCATCCACTGTATTTTCTGCTCTTGACATTATAAGATGAGGAGCCTTGCGGTTCCTAACTTTTCACAGCCGCTGACTCATAACATCATCATCACCATCATCTTTAGTTAAAAACACGGTAAATACATCAGGCATTAACAATTTAATATAAAAGCTACAACTTACTCTTCCAATATTCTGGATCACTCTTGTTTTTGTGTTCTGAAAATGCGTTTTACACGATAGAAAGGTCCTTCACTACAAAAACCTTTCACTTTTTTTGGTTTTGGTAGTAGCATCTTATGGTATATGAATCTTTAACTGCTGCTTTAGCATGTTTTGAACAACGGTTGGGCGAGCGATTTCTTTGAAATTCAAAGAGGTGAACGAAAAGGTTGTTCTCTCTCACGTTACTTGCTGTTTTGTCAGTTGAAGTCCTAGCCGGGGCAGTTTGTGAAAATAAAATTATTGAAAATACAACACGAAAAACAAATTGCCTCTCTTAAAATACTGGATGCTTGTTATGAAGTGTCTGGTTACTAATAACTCATTATAAGTAAAGGTTTTTTAAAACAATTTGAAGTAAAAACTAACGATAAAAGCGTGCGACGTTTCTACCGAACTTCGGTCATTATCAAGCTAGCTAAAAGTGAAGACAGAAATTTATGCATATGTATAAACATAAAACAAAGAAGTAAAAGTATGTAAAGTATGAAAATGTAAAAAAGGGTGTTAAGAACAATAAAATGCGTGCAAGAACAACATAATTAAAAGTGATTAAAAACTTTCGCTGGAATTGAGTCTGACAGTACATTGAGACTTGGTCTCAGTTCATTACTGCGCTTTTCAATATCGTGTGGACTCTAAAATTCAAAGCTCAACCGACAAATGCGTTTTTCGCTACCGTCAATCCAATGTTCGGCGGCTCCTCCCAGTTTCCGACTTCTGCCGAACACTTTTTCGTTGTCTGAACTGTGCTCAACGATTTGATTACCTCGCGCTCGGCAGTAGACGGAAGCTGGGAGGGCCGCCAAACATTTGATTGACGGTAGCGAAAAACGCATGTTATTGCAAGGCGCAGTAATAAAAACACATTTCGTACATGAGACAGTCAAACAGTGTTCTTGCACTTCTTTAAGGTGGTAAAATTCTTGGTAAGATCCTTGGGCACATAAGAATGTTTAACACGAAAATGTTTTCCAATGAAGGAAGACACATTCTTGCGCTCGCCTACGCGTTGATGCAAATGCCGCCTCGTGTAACCAGCATAACCTGCATCACACAGGTCACATTGAAATTGGTGAACAAGGGATTGTTGGTTAACAATAGACGGCTTGACTTCGCGCGGTTTCAGATGTCGTTTAATCTTGTGACTAACAGACGTGGGCTGAACGGTCACTTGAATTTTCTGGCTCAGATCTTTCAGTTGTGCTCGTACAGTATCGACTGAAGCCTGGTCTTTAAATGGCAGAACAAAGCTAACAGGATCTAATTCATTGTTAACAGCTGGTGCCTCCGGAACAGGTTGATCAGAAGCTTTGACAACAATAAAGCGTGAGATGGTGGAATTGATTAACGTGTCTGGGTAACTCAGTCGAGAAAACACCATTTTGAGCCGATCACATTCCTCGGAAAAGTAGGACCAATTGGAAGAGAGGCCGAAGGCACGACCAAGCATAGTTTTTAGTAAGCCGCGCCTGTAGCGATCATCAACATGGCTCTTGTAATGCAGCAGAAGGCCGGTGCTGATAGGTTTGACGTATACTTTGGTTTAGATTTGTATAGATTTGTTAAGGAGCTGTGTGCCAAGAAATGGAAACATTCCATTATTCTCCATCTCCATAGTGAACTTAACCGAAGAGTGGCAGTGGTTAAGAGTCTCGAGAAAGTTACTAGCTGATGATTTATCTGGCATAATAATTAACGTGTCATCCACATATCTCCTGTAGTATGTGGGCATCTTGCCTTCGCGCTCGAGAGTTTCTTCTTTGCTACACATAAAAACGTTAGCCATTAAGGGTCCGAGCAGGGGGCTCATGCCGTCACCATCTGTCTGTTCGTAAAGTTGACCGTTGAACAGAAAAAGTTGATAATTTATGACNTTTGTTAAGGAGCTGTGTGCCAAGAAACGGAAGCATTCCATTATTCTCCATCTCCATAGTGAACTTAACCGAAGAGTGGCAGTGGTTAAGAGTCTCGAGAAAGTTATCAGCGAATGCTTTATCTGGCATAATTAACGTGTCATCCACATATCTCCTTTAGTAACTGGGCATCTTGCCTTCGCGCTCGAGAGTTTCTTCTATGCTACACATAAAAACGTTAGCCATTAAGGGTCCGAGCGGGGGACCCATGCCGACACCATCTGTCTGTTCGTAAAGTTGACTGTTGAACAGAAAAAGTTGATAATTTATGACCGAAGTTCGGTCGAAACGTCACGCGCTTTTACCTTTAGTTTTTACTTCAAATTACTCATAGCTCGTTACAAGAAATAAATGTCTGTGGACAGATAGGCCCATCTGGCCTCTTTCTTGCAGCTAAGCCATCACGTGACCTACTTTTCAAAGAATTATGTGCTGTAACTTAAAGAATGCCAGAAATGGAAAAAGCATGTCGAAAATATAAAAATGGCCAAGTTTGAGGCCACTGGCATTAAAGAATGAGATTTTATAACAGTTTGAAATTGTCAAAAATTAAGAAGATTTGTATGGAAAAAGTTATCAGTTGGCGCGCAAGACTTTGCTCTCCAGCAACATTTTTCATTGATATCCTATAAATTTTCCGAAATTCAAACTGTCGTATAAACTTACAGGGACCTCAAACTTGGCCATTTTGGTACTTTCGATATGCTCTTTCCGTTTCTGACATTCTTTAAGTTGTAACCCACAATATAAAAATGTTTTAGTAAAAATTTGGTCGCGTGACCGCAGCTGCAAAGGGCCCATTACCTGAACTGAGCCGCAATTAACAGCAACAAAACTCTTCTGCTAAATCTTTGCGCTTTACAAACTCATGACAGAGGGCAGAATGTAGAACCTTGTAAGTTGCATCAGAGGCATTATTTTGTTTCCACTCAAACAACATTTTCA